AGGTCTCTGCAGTACCCTGTCTGAAATATGTGGAACAATAAAGAAACTCAGGATTCACCTTCATATTGTTCCTCATGTCTGAGGACCTTAAGCAGTCTTGACACATTTCAGAGGCTTCTTTTGTTGTTGTTGTTGGGTTATGTCCAACAACAACATTTTATCATTGTTAAGAGGGAGGACCTAGTAAGAATGGGACTACTTTCTCTTGCAGAAACCGTAAGTCTGAAAAATAATTTTCCAGCTCATCAATATATTTATTAAGAGCCTATTATTTGCCAGGCATTCTGCCAGGTGTGTTGCTAAGTAAGTAGGAAAGGAAGGAAAAGGAAGGAAAGAAGGAAGGAAGAAACGAAGGAAGGAAGGATGGAAGGAAGGAAGGAAGGAGGGAAGGAAGGAAGGGAGGGAGGGAGGGAGGAAGGAAAAGGAAGGAAGGAAAAGGAAGGAAGGAAAAGGAAGGAAGGAAGGAAGGAAGGAAGGAAAAGGAAGGAAGGAAAAGGAAGGAAGGAAGGAAAGAAAACATGTACTCATTTTCCCTTTTGCTGAAAACTTTCAGCAAACATTTCATTGCCTTCTCTAAAGACTCTAGCCAGGCTAGCCCCTTTCTATTACATGTTCTCATCACACTTCTAAATTTCCACTTTACAGAACTAATGACACTTGCATCTTATCAGTGTCTGTCTTCACTTGCAGACAAGATTGTTGAGAATAGTTATCTTTCTTAGTTTCCCATTGTCTACTGCAGAGATTGGCACAAGATAGGCATCTGCCAATATTCATTAATTAAGCTGATAAATTCTCAAATTCAAGGCAGTTTCCTTTCTCTCTGCTTTGTTCTTACTGTTGGTCTTTATCCCTGGTATAATTGCTGCATGACTGCTGACCTTCTTGGTCAGGTTTTGGCTCCTTTCTATCAACAATAAAACCAGACTCCCTGACCTATCATCTTTTGCTTATTTGGAAGGGTTTTTCACTTCTGGTTATTGAGCACAGCTAACTTCCAGGACTCCACCCCAGACACATCATTCATGCTATTGTCCAGGGGCTATCAGAAAATTAGAGAGCTGTAGAGGACTGTAAATTTGAAGTGCCTGGTATCATCCAAAGCAACATTTTTCTTTACCTGCTTTGTGTGGATCAATTGGTAAAATGAGGAGCACATGCTGATGTTAAAATGGAATAAATACCTGGGACAGTTGATTATCACAAGGTAAAACAGCAAAATATAAATCTATCTGTTCAATTTTCCATTGTGAAATAATCACTTCACCATATAATCCTTGGAAATTAAAACTAAGACTCTTAATTATCCTTTCACTGTCTTGGGTTTTCTTCCCTTTCTTGTCCAATGTTAACTGCTTCTACAGTTGTGATAAAGCAATGATCTCTATCAAAAGTTCCTTCAGCTAGCCCTGAAAATAATTTCCTGGGAACCCCCCCTTTTGGCTAGGAATCATGTAAACCTTCTTAACCTCATCATTTTTATGGTATTTTGTTTTGTTTTGTTTACCCTTAGGGGATATTAAATTTTTATGTGGCTTAACTTCTCTGTACATAGACCAAAGTAATGTTTTGCAACAAATAGAATGATTTAAAAGCACTTTGATTTCACGGGAAGGCTGTTAATGTACACTGAAAATTGTGTGGCAGTAAAATGAGAAACTCTCAGCCGCACAGAGTTTATCTAGGGGCGCCTGTGTAAAACAGGCCTCATTTAGCATTAAATCTCATTTTATGTGATCAGGGTTTGTTTTTAAATGGGCAACTCAGGATTCATGCTACAAGACTTTTTTACTGAGTATCAAGAGAAGGTCCTTTCACTCCCCCACCCATGCCCTTATAATGCAATTTATCACAAAATTTGCCTAGAGTTTGGCCAAATTAGCACTGTATACATCATGTGCATCTGGTATATATTTGTTAAATAAAAACAACAAAAATTATGTAAAAACACTTTGGAAAATTATAAAATAATATGTTATTAATGTTATCAAGCGATTTGCCTGGTTTTCTCTAAATATGTTAGGAACTCATCATTTACAGGTGTCAAATTTCTTCACATGAATAATCAGGAATAGCCTTAGGATCACAAAGTGCATGAAAGTTCATATTATGGGTCATTCATAGCATTTTCAAAGGTAATTGTACTTAGAAAGGAGTGTCTGTGTGTGCGTGCGTAGCTATGTAACGTACCAAAATATGAGAGATGTGGAAACTATTCCTATTGCCTGTATACAATAATTTCTTTCTAAGAACTCAAGGTGCATGGCACATAATGTTATGTTTTAGGGAAAATCTACCAGGAGAATCTGATCCCTTTTACTTCTTTCATTTTAGAGTTTCTCAATTTTATTGATGTCTTCTTTGAGATTACTACTTGAAAAATACTTAAAATGGGTGCTAGTTTTATTGAATTTATTTATTTTTTATTGTATTTGTTTTATGAGACAGAGTCTCACTCTTGTCGCCCAGGCTGGAATGCAGTGGCGTATCTCATCTCACTGCAGCCTCCCCCTCCCGGGTTCAAGCGATTCTCCTGCCTCCGTCTCCCAGGTAGCTGGGATAAGAGATGTCCACCACCACGCCTGGGTAATTTTTGTATTTTTAGTAGAGATGGGGTTTCACCATGTTGGGCAGGCTGGTTTCGAACTCCTGACCTCAGGCAATCCACCAGCTTTAGCATCCCAAAGGGCTGGGATTACAGGCATGAGGCACCACACTCGGCCTAGTTTTATTGACTTTAAAATCATTCTCCTTTCTTTCACTTTTTTTTTTTTTTATTCTGGAAAAAACCATTAGCAGGTGGGGAAAGCTTTTTAAGACTCATATGTCTCTTACTGATGTTAACATTAGAATATCAACTTATTTTTGTTCTTTGTCGCTGGTGATGTTTCTATACCTTCTAAGTAGATTTTCAGTATGACAGAAGAAAATCCTACAGGGACTGACTCTAGGTTAACTTCTGGGCATGTGCAGATAGGCCAAGTAAATGCTCCAGAGGCAACAATAACCTGACATGTGTTTCTCAGTTTTGGACGAAGTTTTTCATCTGGCAAAAATCTTCCAAGTATTTATTCCCTGGCATTTTTCCTTTTCTGAGAAAAATCACAAGTAAAATATAAAGCAGTAGAAAGGAGACAAATGGAGTTACTAAAAAAAAAAAAAAAAAAAAAAAAAAATCAGTGTAACAAGAAATTTGGATAGGTAAGGTTCTAAAGTAGAAAGCTGAATTCATCTTGTATATCTTCTTATGGTATCAGATAGAAGGAAACATTCAATAAAATGAAAATGATTATACTTTGTTGTGGGCTGAACAATGGACCCTCAAGATGTCGACATCCTAATCCCCAGAAGCTGTTGACTGTTACCTTCTACAGCAAAAAGGACTCTGCAGGCATGATTATGTTACAGGTTTTGACACAGAAAGATTATCTAGGATAATCCAATTTGGTCTAATGTGGTCACAGTAGTCCTTATAAGAAGAAGGCAGAAGAGCAGCCACAACAGGGGATGTAATGTCTGAAGCAGAGCTTGGAGTGCTAGGCTTCGAGGATGAAGGAAGGGGCCACAGGCTAAGGAATACTGGCAGCCGCTAGAAGCTACTTCAGGCAAAGAAACAAGTTCTTCTCTGTAAACCTCTAGAAAGAGCTAGTCCTCCTGAAACCTTAGCTTTACCTAATTGAAACAGATTTTGGACTTCTGATCTCCAGAACTGTAAGAGAATACATTTGTGTTGTGTTAAGCAACTGTTTGTGGTAATTTGTTACAGCAGCAAGAGGAAACTAATACAAGCCCTCTCATCTCAATTTAATTGATGTTCAAAGTGTTCTTGAAAAGTTAGAAATGATAAACATATGCAGTAATGACCCTGGGTTGAGATTTATCAGACTGATTTTTGAAGTTAAGGAAAATATTTTAAGGCAAAGTGTTACCTTCTGTTTTATTTAAGATTTTAAAGGAATAATTTGAGGAGTATGCTATTTTTACTCTGCCAGCTCAATAAATGTTATAGTTTTTAAATAAATTGTAGATTGACTTTTCTCTATCGTTTTGAATTAGAATTTAAAAAAATCATTGATTTACCTATAAATTCACCACCTCAGAGCTTTTTCAATGTTGACAGTAATACAGAGATGCTGAGCAACCAATAATGTCATTGTAATTTTCTTTTTTATTTAGTATTGTGTTATTGTAATCATGTCACTACCTCTCAAAATGACAAAAAGTACACTGAATATTCCAGGTCATAATTTAGTCTTTGATATTCTTTGGAACAATTATTTAAAATCCTTTCAAACTTTCTGAGATACCTAGCTTATTATGAAGAATTCCAAGATGTTAAAACTACCACAATTTTTCCCCATTTTTTAAAACATTAAGAATTTGTTGAAGAATTTTTACACTTGAACATATTGTTTAAAATATAATCTTTCTTTCCATGTGACAGCCTCACACAAACAAAGTATTTACAGAAGCTGCAGGTCTGTCATTGCTGTTTAATTAAGGGAGACTTTCAGAACTAGAGGATATTAAAAAAAGAACTAAAAAGAACACTTTATTGTGATAATAATAATGGCTTCATTTCACATCAGAATTTCAACTAGTAAAAATTCTATTTACAGGTGTCATCTGCTAGAACTAGTCAATCTTGTTTTATATTGTGAGTTTTTCTTTCCCCAATTACTTATACAAATCAGATGGTGGAGTACATAAGCATGCTAAGAAGTTTAGATTTGCTTCTAATTTGGCACATGATGTAACAATTTCCTTTCTCTATCATTTATGACTTTGGAAGCTTTCAGTTTCTTTGTTTGGCATCTAAATTGTTTAAAATCACCTTGTCTTTTAGTTCATGGAGACAATGCATATCTTTTTCATAGTCTACACCCTAGAACAACCGTACCCAATATTTTTGGTACCAGAGGCCAGTTTCATGGAAGATAATTTTTTCATGGACAGGGGTGGGGGATGGGTATGGTTTCAGGATAATTCAAGTGGATTATATTTATTTTGCACTTTATTTCTATTATTATTGCATCGTAATAGATAATGAAATAATTATACAACTCACTATAATGTAGAATCAGTGGGAGCCTGAGCTTGTTTTCCTCCAACTAGATGGTCCCATCTGGGGGTAGTGGGAGACAACAACAGATCATCAGGCATTAGATTCTCATAAGAAATGGGCAACCTAGATCCCTCACACACACAGTTCCAATAGGGTTTGCGCTCCTTGAGAATCTAATGTTGCTGCTGATCTCACAGGGAACACAGCTCAGGTGGTAATGTGAGCCATGGGGAGTGGCTGTAAATACACATGAAGTTTCACTTGCTTCCCACTCATCTCCTGCTGTGTGGCCTGGTTCCTAACAGGCCATGGACCAGTACCAGTCCATGACCTGGGGGATGGAACCACTGCTCTAGAAGATTAGTTCTTGCCTTCTTGCCAATTATTTCTAGTCAAACTGAAACTTACTTAAATGTACATTTTAATAACTTTAACAATTTATTTTGGACCACCCACTGACATTTACAATGTTGTAAATATAATTCATCTAAGATACAAATAACTTCATGGCAGTTAGGAAACCCTATTTAGGGTCCACTCTTTAAATTTTTGAATTCTTAGATCACAGTATCTTTCTACATTAAGACAACGCAAACTTTGTGAAAGGCGAGCAATTGTAACATACTATGGATTCTAAGCTGTGTTCAAATTACTCAGTATTTTCCACTGAATACTTGCCATGGGCAGCACAGGCATAGTAACTGTCAATTAATACTTTTTTTTTTTTTTCCAATTTTGACTAAAAAGAGAGGAGTTTAGTAATTTTTCTTTCTGCAGTATAGAAAGTAACCCAATTATTAAAACTGGTAGCATAAATATCTCATAACAATTTCTGTGCTTCTCTTGCTAAACTTATGAAACCAGAGTGAAGTACATGGATACATTTCCCAATGTTTTACCCATCTTTTTAAAGATTTCATCAGATATAAGCTTTAAGTTGCTTCTTTGACAAATTTTAGTTGTAAGAAATTAACTAAGAAATTATTATGACTAATTATCAACATACACTATAGTTCAAGGGTTTTTTTTTCCCCAACTGACAGTTTACAGAGCTAATATTAACCACACACTATGTATAAAGAAGTCAGTCATATTGATATAAATATGAGATACATAAATACTAAAACCTCCAACCTAACCTTATTAATAGAAATGTAGTCAGAGCCCTGGTGCTCATACCTGTAATCACAGCACTTGGGAGGCTGAGGCAGGAGGACCACTTGAAGCCAGGGGTTTGAGACTAGCCTGAGCAACATAGTGAAACCGCATTTCTACTAAAAATGCAAAGTTAGCTGGGTGTGGTGTTGTGTGCCTATAACTCCAGCTACTCAGGAGGCTGAGGGATGAGAATCACTTGAACCCAGGAAGAGGAGGTTACAGTCAGCTCAGACCACACCACTGAACTCCAGCCTGCCTGGGCGACAGAGCGAGACTGTTTCGAAATAAAATAAAAAAAAAAAAAAAAAAAAAAAATCTAGTCAGTGCTGAAAGGAACTTTTGATATCTTCATTCCGTCTTCAGTCTATGGTTGAGTTGATCTGTTCGACATCAGCAAGCTAGTTGATGGCTGGGTCTATGGTCTAGGAACTCTCTGTCACCTGATCCCTAAGCTAAGGCTCTTTTTGAAAACACATTGAGTTTCAACTCTCCTTCTGTTTATCTTTCTCTCTCTGTGTCACACACACACACACACACAAATTTACCTTAATATAGTTATTGTAGAGCAATCTAAACAAGCATATTTTTATATAAATTTACATGTTGTACTGTGTACTTACTTATCAGCCTTTTCTTTTGGCAGGAGAGCACAAAAATAAAATACACTAAAAAACCAGCACAGGACCTCCTACATTATGGATTTTCAAAAAAATAAAATAAAATAAGTCTTTCTTTTATCCAATCAACTGAATTAGATTCTAGTAGGAGTGGAAATACACTAAAGTGTTCTCATAAATATGTCATAGAAATTCACTAAGCACAATATTAATTTAACTCTGAAACTAGAATGTGTGCCCGCACTGACTTTATTTCCTACAAATAGACAACGGTTCTCCAGGCTCACCTGCCTGTTTCTTTCCTTAACTATGTAACAGATGTATCAAGAGTTATTCTGTTTCTAGATTATGTATTTCCTTTCATATTGAAATGATGCATATATTTCTTTCCTGTGTACATATACCCACCAAACTTTTCTAGTAATAATGAAACTCTCAAAAACTTTCTAAAGTAATGTGATGCTATAGAAAATGCTAGTAAAAGCTAACCAACATACAATATATGCATGGAGTAGGAAGTTATAATTCCTTATACTTGTAAATGTGACCTGATTACATTCTGCCTTCTTAAATTTCAAAAATAACATACATAAGCTGGTCTATCAAAATGTTTTAAACACCTAATTATCCACAATATAGAATTTGTTTCAATTTAAAAATAAATAAATGTATCTGCCTCTAAGCAGTAAACAATGGTTAGTGATACTTAGATAATAAAGTTAAGTTCACAGAAACACCCAAATCTTATATCTAGTAAGGATTTATTATAACAAATATTGAATAATTTATTATTTAAATGGTTAGAATAAAGTTCAAGGGAAATATAAGCAACCTTCTTCTTTCTCTAACAATCTGAAATACATGGGGGTTTAAACCTTCTATATTTTTGTCAAAATAGTAATTAACCATAGATGACAGATGCTGCTCCCTAGTCAATGGAGGGTCTCAAATTTTACTCTGCATCTCATTGGGAAGGAAATATAAATTTTTAAAATAGAATTAACTTGGGGAAAGGCATCAGTGCTGCAACTCTTAGCACCAAATGTTTTTTCTTGGAGCACCAAATGCTCTAAGGAAAACATTCCAAGTATCAAAGTTTTCAGATAGATAAATATTTATGGATCAAATCCATAAAGAACAGACATTGTTATGAAATATATATAGATGCCTTCAAAACTTTCTTTCTAGGCAGAGTAGACACATAAGTTAGGAGTCATTTCCCACTTAATTGTTTTTGCAACCTTATGCAACACGAATGGTTTATGTGCAAGACTTATTCATTTTTACACAGAAAGTAGATCTTGACTGACATGATGTCCAGAAAATCAAACAGAAGCTATTTCTCTATATAAAATATAAAATGTCATTAAATTTATAGAAACGGCTTTATTTTAATCTTTTTCGGTTGAAAAGTATAGGGATTTTTGATCTGGTCTTTTGGTAAGAAAATAACACTCTTTAAAACAAATTGTTTTCAATTGCTAGTTAGTATAATTGGAGAAAAGTATAAAATAGATCTGGTTCATATCTTTAAGGGCAATGAAATTCCATCAGTCTTTGAACTTTATTAATGGTTTTTTTCAGTCTACATATAGACCATTGCCACTTCCTCTTCATTAAGAGCTCTTGATAGTAGCTGTATAATAATCTACAGAAAGTTATTTTTCCATTTAAAGGCAGAGGTTAATTTACATTGTTCATGTAGCAACATGTAAGTATGCTACATAATTCTAGAGAAATTTAAAGTAGTTACCAAAGAAAGATAGCTTTAGCTTCTGTAGTATTCTCAATGATATTAAAATAGCAATTGGTGAGCACTCATCAGAAATGAAGTGCCCATTTAAGGAAGCTGCATTAAGTCTTGTTCCAGATGCAAATGCAGAACAAAGGGATATAATAACTCATTGCAGAAAGTGTTGGGTATACTATATCAGGCTTCCAAGTTATACTTGCATATGCAGCTACTGCCAATAGTATCATCTGTGAACATGAGGGACATTTTGGAACTGAATAGAATTCCAACCCTGAAACTAAGCAGAACAACTGCATATTCAACCCAAGAAGGCATTAGCTTTATGTAGGCGTAAAGAAATGGTAGCACAGGCATAGGTAAAATTTTTATTTATGAATGTGTGGACACATGACTTTGGATCCAGCCAGCCAGTGACATAAATAAACTTCAGCAAAAGTTTCAAGCTAGAGGATATATATGTATAGAAAATTATATATTTGTGTGTGTGTGTAAGGCCTCTTGGAACAGTGCCACAAACCTGGACACCAACCAACAGAATACTCCCATCCTTTGAAATTTCCATTAAGAGCACAATGGGGGTAATTATACCAGGATGCTCCAATCGCTCTTTCCATCTTGTGCACTTGCATGCCCGCCAAACATGAAATGTTCGCCTTCTCCCTTCCAATGTGATGGTTGTTGAACTTATTTTTAGTGTCATTTGATAAGCCTTTGTGCTCGCAGAGAGACATCCCACTGACCCAGCCACTGGTCATTGTCTATACCAGTTCACATCAAAGCAGGCGCACTTTGTCAGGTTTCCAGTCGAATATCCATTTCGCATCTGAAGTACAGTATCGAAAGTGACTAGATCATTTGAGCTTTTTTCTTCAGCTGCTGCTTTCCTCCCCCACAGTGTTTCTGCTCACGCTAACATAATTTGGCATCGTCGACGTGACACAATGGTGGTTTTTCTAAAAAATTATAATACATACATCGTCAATGTTTTGTGATGGCGATCCTCCTGAAGATTTAATTTGTAAATTGAAGAAAGGAGGTCTTTTTCCTCTACTGAATCATAACCAAGGTAGAGTGCCCCTCAAAATCCAAGTAATGCGCATACAGTAATAGGTCATTCAATGTCAAAAGGCATAAAAAAGATGAGCAAAATCTTCACAGGCTGCTGCTTGCTGTTGCTTTTAATTATATTAATTAAACTTTGAAATTTTCATGCAAAGAGAGTTGCTGGCTTGTGACGCTGAAGAGCCCTTGGAGACTTGACGAAAGAAAAAACCCTGAGCGGAAGCTTTGTGGTGACTGCTTCCTTTAAATTAAAAGCAAAACGAACTTCTAGGTATGTTTATAGCTATTCATGCTTTATGCACTACTAAATCCTAAACATAGGAAAAAGAGGAATCTACCAGTTATAGGGACAAGTTTGCAAAGCACAAGGCCCTTGCACTCCACTCAAGATCTCTGGCTAGAGGCTGTCTTTCTGTGGAATAACGCTCTATTAATTTTCTTGTCCCGAGTGCATAATGAAAGAAAGGTGTCTTCGAAAACTAAAGGGCAAAATCTTGCTTGCTACCAATACCTTGAGGCATCTTGTCTACATTTTGTCATGCGTGTGCACTTTTCAGTGTTAGAATGACAAGATTTTCCAGTCAGAAACTTCCCGTAAGGCACACTGTGATAGGGGACTTGGAAGGATTCTGTGATCTGACATAGCTATAACGCAATGGACTTCTTTATTTACTTAGCCTGGTGGGAAATTGTATACTCTGCCTATGGATAAAGATCTTGCCACATAAAAACACAAGTGCCATGTTTCCATGTAAAAAAACTCCTATCTTCCATCATGGCCAGTTGTTTTGGTATCATCTTCATGTTGTTGCTGTTGTTGCTTTTTCCTCTTCTACACATTCAAACAAACTTTCTTGTACAAACCATAGTCTGCAGGTCAGTGTTCTTCTTTATTTTCAATGTCATAAATCATGAGTTACCACTGAGTTTCATCACCTCCCATGTAGATGGCAGAACAAATGTTTGGAAATGTTTGGTGCAAGCAAAGCAGAAGGCAGAGAAAACATTTCCTGACTGAGAGGAATTAAGCTGCTCTTCCAAAAGCTTCTGAAATGCACTTGATTTTTTCCATTTGGTTGAAAATCAGCTATGTGAAAATGTGCCATCTTCATACCGTCTTGGTCTTCCTGCTTCCGTTTTACTGAGATGGAACTCGGGAGAAGTTTATGCACCGGCCCTGAGGAAAGAAATAAGTCCATATTGAAATATTGAAGCCATTATTAAAAAAGCATGAGAACATCTAGTTTTCCTACCATGATATAATAAACGATTACCCAAGGAAAGTAATGTTAACATGAGACATGAAGTCATAATTTTTTTTTTCTTGGTTTAAAGCATGATGGTTCATTCAGACCTTTTCCACAGTAAGTTCACCTATGAGATGGTATGGTATAATTAATATGGAAAAACAATTATGGAAATACGATTTTGTTACTATTATCTAAAATACAGCATTACTATCAAGGCCATAAAAATATCAAAGACACAACCTGATATACTTCTTTATGTAATGAATTAAAATGAAAATATTCTCTTATGCAAGCTGGTGCTCCTAAAATGCATATATGAAGATCACATTTAGTAAGCAGTAAGAGACTGAGGATGAGGAATCCCAAAAAAGGGATTGTCATCTCTTTGTAATTCCATTTCATGAAGGGTTTTTGCAAAATCATGTCTATTGTTACTGACCATTTCTCACCACTGCACACCACCATCATGTGTTCATTTCAAATGGTGACTATTTGCACTTACACATTTCCAAAGAGGATTTGCCATTCTAATTTCTTAACACTTCTATGAAAGTTGTGTGGACACACTGTTCCATGTGTATTGCAAATAATCCAGGAAATATTTGAAAACAAAGTTCCCAATGAGTGATAAAAGATACTTTCCTTTTATCTCTTTGGTATGATACTACTGATCCACTGTACCAACTAAATCATTCCCAGATTCCTCAACCAGCCAAAAGCTAGCATAGTGCTTTCTACATTAGGGTCAGGATTATCACCCTATTGAGATTTTTGTATTTCTTACAATAGCTGCTCTCAAAGCGTTTTAGATTTTAGAGTGTCTCTTTATTTCCCTCTAAATGTAAGTTTGTTTTTATATCCAAAACATGCTAAAATTCAAAAGCAACAAAACATTGTTGAAAAAGAATGGTTGGATGTAAAAGCAGAATTTTTGTCCATTTTACTCTCAAAAATGCTTAATAAATTTGAAAATTTCAGAAATTAATGAACAAACAGAAAAGCGCAAAAACAAAACAGAACTAGGAATTTCCATTCGTTTTTTCTAAAAGACAAACATTCATCACATTATCTGTCTTTTAAATACTTTTGGAGGCAACATTATTACTACAATTGCCAATTTTTATTACTTACTCTGCATTAATGTCTACAAATCACATCAGTGCAAAAGGAAGTAGGAAAAAAGCAGATAGAGGATCAGATTAAAATGAGGTAAAAATTCCTTACTGATACAGGTCATAGGTCATGTACTCAGACTGTATTTTTGTGTTACCTAGAACTTTCAAACAACATTTTTAGAGTGCATATTAAGTGAAGAGGTGCTGTTCTCTAGATTAGCTAAGGGAGCTATGTATGTTGCCAAAACACAATAAAACAATAAAAGTGTTATTTTCACACACATCAGGTTTCATGGTTAGAAATACTTTTTCAAGAGGAACAGGTAGGAAAATGACATCATACACAAATAATTGAGCCAAAAAAAAAAAGCAGTGCTTCTAAAACACAGTAGTATATATATTCAATGAGAAATAGATTTGAACTATGCAATTCAACAGTGATGAACATTTAAAATATTATCTTCTGGCAATTTTCCAGAATTGAACAAATATATGATGAATGATATTATGACAGCAAAGATAAAAATTAATGACATATTTTTATTGTGTATTTGTAGATCAAAAAGTAATAGTTTTCTCTCTTCTGTACAATTTTGAAAATAATTGATTATCAATCTCTATTTTCACTTGTGTTTTATCACTTATTAAATTGATATAGATACAAGGATTCTTCTGTGACCACTTCTTTTCTATATGCCATATTAACTTTAGTGTGTAATGACTAGTAATGGTTAGTAGATTATTAATTTACTTGAAGCAATTGGATAGTTTAACAAGTGAGATTCACAATCTACTCAAATTCTCAAATTCACTTTAATACCTAAATTGTTCCAGAACTAAATTATTTATTTCATTTGATGTGGTTTAATTAAAGATATGGAAACTTGAAGGAAGAAAACTCTGTTGATTTTGACTCTGAGGTCCTTATTACAACTCTTCCAAAGCTTGGTATTAAGTATCAATTATCAGCTACCAAATGTCTCTAGATTTAAGCACCAAAAACATAAAGAAAAACCTATTAAATTCAATATACACCTATATGTTTTAACACACACCCGTTAACAAAAACAAGCAAATGCTCTTCCCCCCTTCTGATCATGGACTCAGCGCTTTTTACTTTTATCAACAGTTGATAATGTCTGGGTGTGATTTTATTTTTCAAAAATTTAAAAGGAGATGACTTCGGGAAATCTGTTCAAGAGTCACTGTTAAGCATTTCCCAGTTTTCCCAGTTATGGGGCTCCTTATCCCAAAGATCCCACTGCATCTCCACTGTAGCTGTACTACATCATGCCATAATAGTGTGCTCAAATATCTAAAAGGAAAGATAACAGTGGTTAAATCTCAGCAATCTAAAGATGGAGTATATCTTCCAGCCTCTGCCACTTCTTAACTGTGTGACCATGGGTGACTTATTTAACTACTGTGTACCTCAGTTCCTTTATCAGTAAAATGAAGATTAAAAAATGGGCCTATTCTTAAGGCTGTTGTAAAGACTAAATTTGTTAAGCTGTATGAAGCACTGAAAATAGTGCCTGACATACAGCAAACTCTCAGTAAAAACCCACATTGTCGGCTGGGTGTGGTGGCTCACGCCTGTAATCCCAACACTTTGGGAGGCCAAGGTTGGTGGATCACAAGGTCAAGAGATCGAGACCATCCTGGCCAACATGGTGAAACCCCATCTCTACTAAAAAACAAAAATTAGCTGGGTGTGGTAGTGCCCGCCTGTAGTCCCAGCTGCTCCAGAGGCTGAGGCAGGAGAATCGCTTGAACTCGGGAGGTGGAGGTAGCAGTGAACCGAGATCGCACCACTGCACTCCAGCCTAGTGATGGAGTGAGAGTCTGTCTCAAAAAAAAAAGAAAAAAGAAAAAAAGAAAAAAAGAAAAAGCAAACAAAAAACATATTGTTATTATCCATATTCCCTCTATGATGTCATTGCATAGGTCTAATATAGAGCAGACTCAATAATTTCGTACTTAGAAACAAGTGAATGGATGGATGAAGAATGAATGAGTTCACGATCACATAGACCTCCACTGGTGGTGGAGCCAGATCTCAAAAATGAGAAGATAGAGTAAGTATGAATCTGAGGGAGAGAAAGAGGATTACCAAGGAGAAAAATAGTGGAAAAGGAGAGAAGAAAATATGGAGAAAATACATGAGAGTAGCACAAAAGAGGAAAAGGTAAGAAAGAAGAATCAAGAAAAATGGAAACTTCTGGCTAGAGGGAAATATTTTATTCATTATTCCATCAGGAATCTTACTTCCAGGCAATTATTTCATATTGGCTGCTGCCATCTGCTTACTGGAAAATTCTAAAAACAAGGCAACGCATCCCAGTTGTAAGTGACCATGATTAGATAGCATTGTCCTTCAACTATCCCCAATACTAGCTTACAAAGCACACATTAGTGATAACGCTAATTATGTTTAAGGTCATGGATGTTGGGCTGCCATTTATATTACAGCAAGAAGTCAATGCCAGAACACTGCAGAGCAATTTTTATTTGCAGGAAATGGAATATGACAAGGCTTACAAGTCTGTCATATCCTCATGCTTATAATGTCTACACAATAAAGGTATGTTATCAAGGTAGCAAACAAAGCCATATAAAATAGCTTGAACATGCAACTCATCAAAGAACTGTACAGAACGGAAAGTCCCTAATGTTTCTTTTTTCTGAGACTATTTCACTTTTATAACAACTAATACAAGTGCTAAAAATAACAAGTTAACTAAATGGTGTAATAAGAAACTATTAAATTTAAGCTAAATATATAGAATACATATAGACCTATATTTATTATAATTTTAATACTTTATTCTCTATATAGAGGCTAATACTAGTATCAGGTGACAGGATTACATGCCCTCTAAAATAAACCATCCCAACGTTTTAATATGCCAAAATAGAGGAACATACAATTTCCATGAGCAAGAGTTAAAGTGAATGAATGTATAATATTATGCCTGTATTTCTTTTTTTATTTTTTTGAGACGGAGTCTCGCTCTGTCGCCCAGGCTGGAGTGCAGTGGCCGGATCAAAGCTCACTGCAAGCTCCGCCTGCCGGGTTCACGCCATTCTCCTGCCTCAGCCTCCCGAGTAGCTGGGACTACAGGCGCCCGCCACCTCGCCCGGCTAGTTTTTTGTATTTTTACCCCGTCTCTTTTTTTTTTTTGTTATATTATTTATTATTATTATACTTTAGTATGATACGGGTACAAGTGCAATAACGTGAGGTTTGTTACTATATTAATACGTTGTGCCATTGTGCTGTGGCCTGGGGCAACCCATCAACCTCGTCATTCACCATCAGGTATAA